CAAAACCTTAGCTAAAAGGAACAAAATGCAACAATGAGCCAAAGGTATAGAGTAGTAGCTAAAAGCTAAATGTAGCAAACCACTAGCTATGAGCGAAGAGTAGCAAAAAACCATCCAAAAGCAACAGTTAGCAAAACATTAGCTAAAACCCCCAAAGTAGCAGAAAACTAGCAAAAAAAACAACAACAAAAAAACAAGAGGCTAAAAGCTAATTTTGCTAACCGTAGCAAAATTTGACCTAAATGCTAAAGGGGACAGAGGCTAGCTCAACATGAAATGAGTTAGCTAAAACATGTGGCTAAAAGTAGCGTGGAAGGAAAACAGACAGTTTGTTGAAGCTGGTTTTAAAAACAAGTTTTTCATGAGATCATGTACTTCTATGGGGAAAATATAAGTACTGATACTACACGAAGGTAAATATTTTAAAAAGTTTAAACGTTACAAAAACCAGAAGTCGCAGCACCCGTCTCCTCAATGAGCCGAAGGTTTTGATGCTTGAACATGTAAAACAGCTCAGCTCATGCAGCAGTTACATCCTTGCTCAAATAAAACAGAAACAAATAAACATGAAAACAGAGAATGCTGACTCAGCGTTCACACGACGGGGCCTTGCTCATGGGAACGCGGTCAGTGTCCCTACAGGGGGTCGATAAAAAGGTTTCAGACGGAGCTAAAGATAATTCACAGTTTGAACAATAACTCCCAGAACAGCTGATCTCACATCTGGGGGAGGAACCTGAGAAAAACCAGAAGTTTTTAAAATCCTCTCCTCCAGTCCGTCGAGGCGTTCACGTACCTTCCTACAGAAGCCGGAGAAGACCACCTGACTGTAGCCGTCTTTGTTCTTCAGCTGTTTGGAGACCTGGATGAAGGCGGAGCTGGTCTGAGGGCAGTCTCTCACCTGCAGAGGAACAAAGACTCGGTTATTCTGCAGGTGGGGGGGCACGGGTTCATGACATCAGATCTATAAATCACAGCTGGAGGTCTGGAGTCACCGGCCACTACGGCTGATATGAGCCGAAGAGCTTCAGCAGAGATGAACATTATTATAGCTACTTGTGGTTCGGCTAACGCTGATCAGCAGACATGAGCAACAGGAAACACGACCGGACCCTCACCTTTAGGAGCCGGGTGACTACTACAACACTTCAGTTATAAATGTTGTTTCGGTAAATTATTATAAACATCTGTACTAAAACATGACAACTGTAAATAGTCTTCAGACAATCTGACCTTCTTCTCCATCTTCCTGCTTCATGCAGGCAGCAGGTCCATGAGAAGAACACAGACCTCCTTCTCCTCAGAGACCCTCTCCAGCTCCTCCTGGCGGACCCTGAGGTGTTTCCAGACCAGAGAGGCTCTTTAAGCCCTCCTGAGTCCTGGGTCTGCCCCGGGGTCTCCTACCAGTGGGAGGTGCCTGGAAAACCTCCAGAGGGAGTCCAGATCAGATGAACCTCCTCAGTTGGCTCCTTTCAATACAGAGGAGCAGCAGCTCTACTCCGAGCTCCCCCCGGATGACGGAACTCCCCCTCCCTCACCACACACACCCTACGAACCAAGACCAGTTCAGCTGCTTAGATCCAGGATCTGGTTCTTTCAGTTCTGATCCAAACCTCAGGACCCCAGTTGAGGGTTGGACCATAGACTGAGCAGTAAATCCAGAGTTTTGCCTTCAAACTCAATGTCTTCACTATTACCGACCGGAGCAGCGTCCTCATTACTGAGGATGAGGCCCTGATCTTCATCCATCTCAACCCGTTTCTGGTCCAGAATCACAGTCTCAGACTTGGAGGGACTGATTCCAGCCGCTTCACACTAGGCTGTGACCTCCCCCCACCACCCCTGAAGTTCATGACCCGAAGACACCAACAGAACCACAACATCTGCATAAAGCAGAGACGAGACCCGGAGGTTCCCAAACCACCTGGGGGTCCAAATGTGCTAAAAAAGAGTCAAGTTTCTTGTGGATCTCAGGTACAGACGGCACCGAGGACCACCGGGACGGTTCTGATGATTCATGACGAGCTCTGAGGAGGATTTCACCTTCAGCTTTTTAAACCATCGGCATTAATTCTGTCTGGGAAGTAAACTGCTCCACATTGAATCCTGGTTCAGGCTCGCTGCTCTGACCCGGTTTTAAAAGCGATCACATGAATCCTGAGTGACGGGCCGAGCAGGCGAGCGGCCAGGACTCGGTCTTCAGAGCCACCAAACAGCCTCAGATTAGCAGCTAAATGAGGCGGCTGTTGGAGCGCTCCGCCCGGCCCTCCATCATGCTTTGTAGCCCGAGGCGGGTCACATGCGCCACGTACATCCCCAACAACAGAACCCTCACACTGCGGGTCATTCACGTCTTGTTTACTGTGACCGATTCGAGCGGAACACTCTGCCGACGGCAGAAAATAAACTGGAATTTCCCTTTTTGTTGAAGTGAAACGAGGTTCGACTACAGCGAGAAGAAACGTCCTGGAAGCTGAAACAAAGTGGCTCATAAGAACTAAAAAGAGTTCTTATGAGTTCTTATTGGCTCATAAGAACTAAAGAGTTCTTATGAGTTCTTATTGGCTCATAAGAACTCATAAGAACTAAAGAGTTCTTATGAGTTCTTATTGGCTCATAAGAGTTAAACTCAAAGCTGCTCCTCAGATAAATAATGTTAAATTATTATTTTATAGATGAATGTTTCTGTTCAGTCCCTGAAACGACTTCTGTTGTGACTTGGAGCTTTAGAAATAAACTAAACTGAACTGAACTGAACTGAACTGAACTGAACTGAACTGAACTAAACTAAACTAAACTAAACTAAACTGAACTGAACTGAACTGAACTGATCTGAACTGAACTGAACTGAACTGAACTGAACTGAACTGAACTGAACTAAACTAAACTAAACTAAACTGAACTGAACTGAACTGATCTGATCTGAACTGAACTGAACTGAACTGAACTGAACTGAACTGTGACTGTTCGGTGGATCAAACCAACACCGGCTGAGAAAACAACAAACGGATCAAATAAAACCCTGAGGACATTCATTACTGAGACCAGACGGAGACATCGTGTCCCTCCTTAAAGACACGGACTCTTCCTGGTCCTCTGTTGGTTTGTGGTCCTCACGTTTGAAAGGTAGTCCCTCTGCCAGGCCCGGCCGACCCCCCAGGCTTTCCTCTCGCCGCTCAGAGCCGACAGAGCCGCCACTTTGGCTCGAACCTCCAACATGTCGGACGGAGGGATGTTCTTCACGATCTGCCTCGCCCACCACCTGACGACAGTGAGGTTTACGTCACTTCAGACATCAGCTGAAGGAAACTGAAGAAAACTTCTGCATGGACACAGAGTCCTGAACGAGCTAAAACTGAGCTGTTTAAGCTAAAACTAAGCAGGACATCAGCTAAAAATAGTGGGGCACTATAGATAGAAGCTGTAAGTATCAAGAGGAAGGCTAAAAGTAGAAAATAGTAGCTAAAAGCTAAATGTAGCAGGACACAGCCTAAACACTACAAAGCAAAAGGCTAGCTGAAAGTGGTTAAAAGTTGTAATGATTGTGGCAAAAGCAGCAGAAGTGTAGAAAAAAGTTAAAACTAGCAAAAGGCTAGCTAAGAGTAGCAAAAACATAGCTAAATGTAAGAAAACTGTAGCTAAAAGCTAAAGGTAGCATAAGAAAATGGAGCCAGTAGCTGAGGCAGACCAAAGAGAGAACAAAGTTTATTTTTTTATCTAAACTTCTGTAGAGAAAAGCTGAAAATAAATTAAAATATTTTTAAAATATAAAAGTTATAAAAAGCCAAACTTCAAAGCGCCCGTCTCCTGAACGAGCCGACTGATTTAAAATAAAAACATTTCAGTAGAATTAGAGCAGATTAAAGTCTGCGGTGAGACACGGTTCGCTCAGGAGTTGCTCAGGTTCTGTAAGTTCTGCTTCGTTCTGCAGAGTCCAGACAAACTTTACAGGAACGTTGCAAAACGTTGCGGGTCACAGGAGCAGGACCGGCTGCAGCAACCAGAACAGCCGCCCTCTCCTTCAGGCGTTATCTAAAGCCTCCTATGGCGAGGTCCTCGGACTCTGCTGGAGCTCCGAGAAGACGACGAGGCCGCCGGTCAAACAGAACCTGTTCAGAGCGTTTCCTGACCTGCGGTGCAGCGTGGTCGTGATGCGGTGAAACTGGGCCAGCGCTGCGGGCGGCGCCGGCCACTCCACGCTCTTTCCGTGGTCCGGCATCGACCGCACGGAGGCGAACCGCCGCTCCACCTCCCAGAAGTGGGCCTTCACCTTGTAGCGCTTGTAGCAGCCCATGATGGCGTAGACGGCTCTCATCCGGTGGCACCGCAGGCGGGCCAGAGCTCCGCGCCATATCTGTCCAAAAAACAAACAAACAAATAAATAAAAGGAGGAAAACGTCTTCATGAGCAAGTTCTACTGCAGACAGGAAGTGGGTCAGAGGAGGAGAAAGGAGGGAAGAGGAGCGGTAATGACTTTAATGCAAGAGCTGCGCCCGGTCTCATCAAACGTCCAATTATTGTTTCAGGAAATTAGATTCAAGCTGCGAGAAGAGTCAGAGCCGAGGCGTGAGCATTCCTGAGTCTAGCTGCTCTGAAGCTCTGCGGCCGGAGGACACGACTCAAGCTGCTCATTAAAACCAGCGCAGCCACGGCTGCAGGTCTCAGCTGACCTTCTGCAGGAACAGCACCAGGATGGGGATGAGGGCGGCTCGCTCCTGCTCCAGGGTGAAGAGCGAGCGCGGCGTTCGCACGAACAGCTTGGTGTGTCCGTACGCCACGTCGTCCTGGAAGCCGTGCTGCGTGATGATGGCCTCCACGGCGTCCCTGTCCGACACCATCAGGTGGTTCGGCCAGGTGTACTCGCACGTCATCTTGTACCTGAGCGACCAACAACCAGAGACAGGAAGCGTCAGCTTCAGGAAACTTTAGTGGTTAACAAGCAGAACTTAAACGTTCAGAACAGGAAGCTCGGCCTGAATCCAGCGTTCAGGCGCCGCGTGTCCAACACATGTTCTTACCGCTGCAGGAAGCGAGCGTACGGCTGCCTGTAGGCGAAGCCGGCCCGGCGCACCATCACGTTCTCCAGCAGGCCCAGGTAGGCCACCTGGTGCTGGCAGCGGGCGTCGTCGAACAGCACCGAGGACTTCACCTCGTTGGGTTTGATGCATCGAACGTAGTACGGCTCCTGAAAACACAAAACGAGCCCTTCGGCTGATTTATGTGGTCACGTTCGGCTGCAGGAGACATTTCAACGAGTTTCATCTCCTCAGCAGGGACCAACGAGGCGAGGATCCCTCAACATGAAAACCTTTAGCTGTTTCCTGCAGCGTCCACACAGAACCTGATCTGAGCAGCCGGGTCCAACAACCGCTCTGAACAGGCTGAAGACGGAGCGGCCTCGCAGCTGGACGTCCCTGAGAGGGTTCTGTCAGAAACGTCCTCCGGATCAATAACGCACCCCCCACATGACCGGGGGCCGTCTGCTCTTTCAGCAGGACCTGAATAAAAATGAGGAGGAGGCGCTGCGACGGCTCAGCAGCAGCTCCACCCAAACCAACAGAGGAAATGTCAGGCAGCAGCGGGCGAGGTCAGCCCCACCAGCCGCCGTCACAAACACGGCGTGAAACATCTCGTCTCTGAAAACAAACCGTTCCATGACCAGCAGCCGACGATGCTGCAGGATCAGAAGATGTTCAGCTTCACAAAACTGGCTAACGTTTTATCTGTTACCATGGCAACTGATGCTGCAAACCTGAGCTGCTCCGGTGCAGGCGGGGCTTCTGGATTAGAGATCACACGATCAACTCTCAACCAATCAGAGTCCTTAAAATTTAAATAATTTAAAATGTTCCATCCGTGTCAAACGAGTGAGTCTCTAATAACAGAAGCTGTTCGTGTAACAACTTCTTACTCTCTACTGACAGATTACACACAGTACCTGCTGTGTAGGCAGTAAGTACCACAAATGTACCCTGTAAGTACCTGGAACATACTCTGTAAAAACCTGGTACATAAGTTACGTGTACCAGGTATTTACCTTGTAAGTACCCAGTATGTTCCCCTTTATGTACCCTGTAAGTAACTTATAGTTCTGGTACACACCCTGTAAGTACCTTATAGTTCTGGTACACACCCTGTAAGTACCTTATAGTTCTGGTACATACCCAGTAAGTACCTTATAGTTCTGGTACATACCCTGTAAGTACCTTATAGTTCTGGTACATACCCTGTAAGTAGCAGGTATTTGGCTGAAGTATTGTTGCTGCTGATCCATTTGTTTAAACAAATATGTCTGAATTTTAAAGTATTTTTTACATTTGGGTCATGAAAAGAGACCTTCTCATGTAGGTCCATGTTCCTGTCCACTGCTGCTCCAGCAGTTTGGATCAGAACTCCATTCATGATCTTTCTACAGGCAGGACCAGAAGTTTAATTTGGGACAAACGGCGTCGATCTTCTCAGAGTCCATAAAAAGCAGAAAGCACCGACCTTACAGGCCAGTCGATCCACCAACGCCACCATGGAGGTCTTGAAGAGCGAGGCGGCGGTCTGAGGTCTCTTGGTGACCTCGGTGATGCTCAGCTGACCATCGGGCCACATGTTCTTCAGGACTGGGTTAGAACTACAAGGACGACGAGCGGGGAAAGAAAACTGGGTCAAACCCTGAGAGACACGGAGCGTGAAGAGCAAACTCATTTATCCACTCGACCCAGAAACGGCACCTGTTGAACATGAGGCGCTTGAAATCCTGGAAAAGCAGGTCCTTGTTTTTCTCCAAAAACCCCTCGACTGAATATCTGCAGACAGGAAGGAGCCGAAGTTTCAATATTATCGTTCAAAGATCATTTCCTGTCAGAGTCATAACGATTACAGACAGCAAGTGTGAGGAATACTTCCACTGTGCTTTTAATTTATTTAGCTGTTGTTTAGCTGTTTGTTTAGCTGTTGTTTAGTTGTTGTTTAGCTGTTTGTTTAGCTGTTGTTTAGCTGTTTGTTTAGCTGTTGTTTAGTTGTTGTTTAGCTGTTTGTTTAGATGTTGTTAAGCTGTTGTTTAGCTGTTGTTTAGCTGTTTGTTTAGCTGTTGTTTAGCTG